TATAACTTTCTTCAAATGGCGAACTTTCAATCTGAAAGCAGATTTCCAAGTGTTGTGAAGAGCTTCTTCTAATCATTATAGAAAATACAAAAAGTTATGAGAAATAACAAATTTAGGCAAATAACGAGGAAAATTCGAGATGAGCACGAGTTTTTACACTTTCCGAAGCAACAACTTGCTTCATTTTCGTCAAATTCGAAAAGTTGATATGGCAGACAAAACTAGAAGATTTTCTCTACCAAACCGTTGCTAAAGCAGCTCTATACGTCCAGTATTCAAAAAATGGCCACGTTGAGGATTTTGCAAAATTAACGAGGAAAATTTGTGATGAGTGCGAGTTTTTTTACTTCCTAAAGCCATAACTCCGTTCAAACTCATCCAATCCCAAAAGTAAATACGCCATCATAAACTAGAAGATTTGCTCTATCAAACGTTACTAGAACTGCTCCAAACGTCCAGTATTAAAAAAACGGCTACGTTGAGGATTTTCGCACGAGTACCGCCGAAAGGTACTTTTTCGCTACATTGGCACTATTTCAACGGCTGTATAGTCCGTCTAGGGGCGTATGTACTAAAGAGAGCAGATTTGGAATCATTGCTTTTCTCTTTCTAAGAAAAGTGATTGATTAGCGTTTCTTAACTTTAAAGGTTACATGTTTATAAATTTAACCCTGAAGAGTCCGTTAACGCAGTGTTGAATGGTGTACACCTCCCTGTAAATGCGCACGGACACTTCAGAATTCTCTCGATTGTTCCTGAATTGAGGTTGTTTGTCCAAGGAGCCGTAGTTGAAGCGCGCGCAACAACTAGACCCTTTCTCGGATGCGCCGTGTACCTCACATCCCTTCAGATTCGGGGTCTTACTTGAAAGATGAAATATCTCTTGGAAAGCGTGCGAAATTCAGATTCTTTATTTTGTGTGGTGATAAAACACTGAAGTAACTAAGAATTACCGGACGCCTCAGAATCACGAAAATTTTGTGTGGGTGAAATATCGTTTTCATTGGAAATCCTCTGGCCTGGCATCGACTCATCCTTGATATTTGTCTTCCGGCGGTGATGATCCCACTGCATCAAAATGGCTCGATCTCTTCCACCCAGCGGCCAATACGACCCCCCCCCTGCGACGTGTCGAGGATTCCTCAACGCACGCTTGACCCTGGTCGTAAACTCACAGCCAGGGCGGCATGTGGTGCAATAGTATCCTAGAGAAATTCTAATTTTTGCAGGGAAGGAAATCCCCGGGGTGCGTGAACTATTTCACTTTCGCCTTCACGTCCACCCGGGAGCTTCCCTGCCCTGCGAAAAGCTGGATTATTATAGGCGATATGCACTGTCGCACGACATCCCAACCCCCCCCCCTCCTTTACTGAATGAGCCCCTCGCATGTTCCAACCTTTCACGCATGCAAAGTGACATACCCAGCCCCTACTCTGTGAACTGCCTTCATTACCGTCCTCCTCACAAATTCCTCTGAAAGGGCATAACCTGGAAAAATGGAAGCGTAATCAGCTCAAAATTTTTGGAATTCATGTCGCGAACTCTACGGCATGCGAAGTAACCCCCTACAGCCTTTAGACTACGTCCAATCGCAACATTAGGCAAGGCAACCACTCAGCGATGCCTCTGCATCATTGTCATTCGCCATGTGATGAGCCTGTTGGCCCATACCCCACAATCGCCACCATTTGACACTACTTACTCTCTTCTCCACATGCTTTGTGCTATCTGATGCTCGTATGTCGCTAAACCTGCCATTTATGGCCCAACGTCATGAGAAACCAAGTGTGGTAGGCGTTTTATGGCTTGTCGTTCAAAGCGCTTCTCATGTGATTACGGTAGCCTCGTTGTGACCGACGATTTTTGGACACTGTTTGGCGACGATCCAGACTTACAGATGCGGACTTCAGAGATTCGATGCAGGTCAATCGTTATCTCCGTAGTCCTCCTTATCGTGTACCTAATCGTTGGCGCGTTTTTCTTTATGGGACTAGAACTAGACCATGAACTTCAAAGCAGAGAGAACCTGGTTCTTGCTGTACAGCGATTCAAAGATGCTACAGGAGCTAGTGGTGAGTTTAAGGCAATTTTCACATCTAGGCAGGTTGCAGTAATTAACCTCACAGAAACTGAAGACTACGGTATTCCGGACGACCGGACGCGTAGCGCATGTGATCTTCGACGTGCACAATCCCTTTTTTATATTATGGCAGACTCCTCCTTTGGCCGTTATTGCTCGAAATCTTTGAGCATAACGGCGTTGTTGTATCGCTCGATAAAATGTCCCAATTCGATGACTGCGATATAACTGCGCGCCCTGTACGTTTGGAGCCATCTTGGGCTATTTAATCTCTTTATAAAAGCACTTTTACAGCTCCATCGGGAGTAGAGAAAGGTGATGATTTTATTTTCGCTGAAACCTTGTTGGTGGACTGGTCACAAATGTGATTTTCATTTTGTGCGCTAGCGAAAGTTTGCTACGACAACTTTTACTCCTACCGAGTTCGTTTGTAACCTAAAGGCACTAGACGGGATCGAATTGATGTATTAATCTGTTCGAAAATAAGACAAGAAGTGCGCACCCTCTTGCTTAGCGGGCAGTGCGCTACAAATTACGCTACCGGGGCGCAGCTTCGTCCTTAGGCTGCTTCATATTTTGCATCGTGCGGTCGGCGCCGGGTACCCCCCAGGAGGCCCGTCGCGCGGCAAGAAGGCAGAGTCGGCGGACGAGTTGCAGCGCGTGGTGTGCGATGTAGGACGTGCAATGGGACACTCTATTTAACTTGACGCGAAATCCCTATAGTACGCGCGCGACTCGTCCGCTGACTTTGCCTTCTTGCCGCGCGACGGGCCTCCTGGGGGTACCCGTCGGCGCGGACGGTGCCGACGTGCCGACAGTGCGAAGAGCGTCGGTACGCGCTCTGGCGCACGACGCGTACTTGGCGTGCACTAGGCGAGTTCTAATTTCCAATAATAATTCTAATTTCCGTGTATTCGTTCCATTTTTGGGCCGTTTCGCTTTCATTCGTGTCTTTTCTGATCATACTTCTTTTTTGTCCTGATTATAATTTCACAGTCGTTTCTCGGACGACAGTTTTGTGTAGAAGTGAAATTAAATGGAATCAATTGTGATGTGTGAACTACTAAATAATACAACGAAGAATAAGTCTGATCGTGAACCAAAAAACATGAATGAACGCAGAATGGCCTCACAAAACATAGGAAAATAGAAAAAATGCACCAAAATGAAGATTATCGATCGGAAGGCGCCGACTGCGCGCCAAGTACGCGTCATGCGCCAGAGCGCGTAAGGCCGATGTCAGACTTTGCGAATCGCGCGATTCGCTAGCGTCTGCGGTCGCGTCGCGGCCAGTGAATCACTCAATTGGCTGGTACCGCAACGCGACCGCGGACGCTAGCGAATCGCGCGAATCGCTAGTAGCGAATCGCGCGATTCGCAAAGTCTGACATCGGCCTTACGCTCTTTTCACTGTCGACACCGTCGGCGCCGTCCGCAGCGACCGCACTGGCGCAAAGTATGAAGCAACTTACCAGGAAGGGTCATTAGGCCAACCCGGCCAAATGAAATGAGGTGCACATTTCTGTACGCAGCATGAGACGCTGAACTCAAATCTGCTTTCACTATCTGCTGAACTCTTCTCTGAAAGGAGTTACGGAGGGTTTTTGTTGCCGCCCTTGATTTTCAGTGTTTTACCTGCAATCACATGTTAGCCGCACTATAAAGGTATCGAAAGGAGAACCGAGGCACTGTTGCCGTGAGCCTCGGTAGCGCAGGTTTTGGTAGCGGTCGTGTTTCTCACGGAGGGGTCGGGGGTTCGGTCCCTTACGGGGTTTGTTGTTTTGCTTTTTTTCCAACATGGCTGAAAAGCCTTTTTGAATCTGTTATTTTACCAATGGTCGCCCGACGCTACATCTACGAAGAGTTTGCAAGCTGACCCTCTTAAACTTAAGCACTACTTGTCTGTGAAAGCCTATGGTGCCCGTAGTGCAGGTGCTATGCTTTTCCGTGGCAAGTAGGTATGATATTCGTATTCAGGGGATCAAACTACCCCTTACAGCGAGTTTTTCGCCAAATCTGAGGCGACGAACTAATTGAGAAAAAGCGGGGCAGTGATGGGATTACCACTCCTCAAACTCCACTTTTTTGGGTTGACCAATCATGGACGACGGGGGAAAGGGGAGAGAAGGTGTTGTATTAGGAAATAATGGTTTGTAGATCTTTGGATGATGCAGACGGGCAAGCCAGACACAATTTTCGTCTATTATGAAAAGTTTTAAAAAATTTATTCTACCCAAGTGCCAGCCTTTTGTAATGGATTGGTGGATCGGTGAGTAAGTGACTGCCCAAATTTTCGAGGTTAGGTCAAAATTTCAGAATTCGCTAGAAGTTCGCTCAAAGGGAGAGTCTGACTCCCTGATTACGAATATCATACTTGTTCGAAGCAAAAATGCCTGGCGCCTGCGCTACAAGCGCCCAAAGTGGTGAGGAGCGGTGCCGCCCAAGTTCATTATTAATTGCCCTCAAATTCTTTTTACTGTTAACTATACGCAAGCATGTCGGACTAGCAATGTTAGGAGTCTTCCTAGCTATCTTACTGCAAACGGCAAAAGAACAAACTCGCCAGGGAGTTGATCCCCTGACCTCTTTTTCGTGAGCCTCGACCACAGCCCCTGCGCTTTTCTGCTTCATAATTCCTTTCAGAGAAGAGTTCAGCAGATAAGGAACACATATTTGAGCTCAGCGTCCCAAGGCGCGTATACGCATATACATCTCATTTCAAATGGCCGGGTTGACCGAATGACCTTTCCTGGTTAGTCAGTTCTCTTCGTGCGTATGCTTTCATAGCTTATCAGCATTCACACGTATAACGTGGAGAGCGTGTTTAGCCGACATCGGTAATGAACCGCAATGAGGCTGGGGCGAAAGATTTGTCCATAACCCAGCAACTTACTGTGATAATATTTGTTCTTGAAGACTTGCAAAAGTATTGTACTGTTTCCTTTCCTGGAGAAATCTGAATCTGAAATTCGGCTCTGTTGTCGAGGAATGGAGCAGCTATGAATGAACAGTAGCGATTCCTTTACGGTTGCGCTCATTCTCTCATGCAAGGTGTTTGATGCGATTCTCTTAAAGTTTACTCCGGAGAGTAACTGCGAATAGCAGGCCGACAGAATGGTCGATGCCTACAGAAAAATCTTCAACGGACCATCTCTCGATTTTCTTCCAGAAACAAAAGTGGCCACTCCCACAAATTGCTCTGGCGTAAATTAGCGCTAGAGCGCGATAATGTCACCCCACAGTTAGTTTATACCTTCGCCTTTGCTAGCGTGCGGTTCAGTTTCAGCTGACTGATTAATAGGATTGGGGGCATCCAAAAGGTGGGCGAAAATAATAACAGAGCAATATTGTATGGTGTGATTATTACACAACTTCTGCAGCAAGAAGCATGAATAATTCAGAAAATCGGTAAATCTGCATCGCCTGTTTGGGCTGACTATTCCCCCGCCGATGACAGCGCCCTCAATTGGCATTTGGCATGGAGAAAAACGTCACCAGCTCTCCGAACTGGTCATTTGGTCAGGCGTTCTTCTTCGCCGGCACGCTCATTAGCACTGTCGGTATGAATAGTTGTTTTCTTACTACAAAAACATGAACCCTTACCCCCTTTCCAAACGACCAAGAGTTGAGTTGTGCGGGTGCGAGTCATTACCACACATGTGTCTCTTGTTTTTTTTTTCCTTTTATTTGTATTTTTCTGGCACGACGAGAGAACAAAGGAAAAAAGACGCCTACTTTTTTCGGTTCGGCAGTTCGTTATTTGACGCTGCTTATGGCCATGCCTTTGGTCTGCACTCGGACCGCATCTCTCGTTTCGAATCGAGGGTATGATCAATGTCAATTGTTTCTCACCGCGCACTCGCCCTGAATGTTGAGCCTACACTCCTCTTGTGCGAGTATCCCTCGCACTCGTGACACAATTATAGTAAGGGCGCGACAGAGCCCCACGTACGCATCGCGGATGTTGTTTGTTCAGGTGTTCCAGGAGAAACGATGATATATTGTGCGCCCGTTTCAGCCACAGTGTGCGAATATCTATTCGCTGTCAAGAACTCTAGGTCCAGCCAGATTCCCAAATGCTCATCTCATAAGTGCCCTTGTGCAATCCTGCATGCGTTCCCGCAGACGGAAAAGATGTTTTGCTCATGCGCCGAAGTACGTGTGCCTTTGTGGCGTTAATCAGGGCGAGAGCGGAATAGCTTTGGTCGGCACTTGCAGCAATACCGATCGCAAGTGTCGCACAAGAATTGTGGTGTGCCAGTATCGATTTCTGGCGACACGATCCGCGAGAAAAACTTACCTGACCTCGCTTGTCTGTCTTGTGACGACAGCAACTCTCTGGATCCGGCAATAGTGATCGCAGATCAATACGCAAGTTACTATCTACAGTGACAGTTGTCTGCACCTCTGTCTACTGGTCGACTGCGCTTAAGTCACGTTGTTGGCTGGGTTGGCAATTGCGGTGACCGCGTCGCATTCCATTTGCAACGCGGTTTATTGCGGACTTGCGGTCGTTTGCATGCGTCCACCGCCAGACTAATGACGTCCGGCTGATGGCGCGATCCATGGACATTGGAGCACACATGCCTAACTACCAATCCTATTGTGACCGGACAACTCGCCCACGCCGCATATTCCGTTCAGCTCCTGTTGCCCAAGCGTCAGGTCAACACAAGCTATACCGTCATTCTTTGGATATTTGAGACTAGACGTTTTGTGAGACCCAATCTATCAGATCTATCAACGCTGAAGTCTATGATTGAGTGATGTGGACGAGTTGTCCGGCCACAACACAATGGGGCAGTTTGAAGAGTCATCCAGATGCTGTGCATGAATTATCGAAACCTTGCCATTGGCGACAAAACGCTTTGCCACTGAGTTTCTTTCCGGTTCCTCGGCCTGCCATCGTGATTGAATCGCTTGGTGTCAACGCTCGCTAACCTCGGATAGCGAACCCATTGGATCCGCAAAGTCTGACACGCGCATTATGTGCGACACGGGACAACGCTCGCCCTGCAAAGGGCACAGGAAATGTTGATGAGTGCGTTCCTTTGCGGGACCTCCGAGTGTGATACTGTGGGTATGATTAAGCATTGCGTGTTGTCGTCTTTATTTCTCCAACTAACAGAATGGCATTGCTACTAATGTGCTAGTTCACACTTTCTCGTTGAGAGGGCGCTTAACATGCCGTGCGCCGCAGCGACGACTGGCTCCTAACCACTTGCGAGCTACAACTCATGTACCAAGCGGTTGTAGGAGCGCATTCACTTTTTAGAAGGTAAAGCTNCACGGTAATTGAACCATTTCACTATCTCTTGCATAACTGCACTAAGTACCTAAGCCACTTTTCGCTGCGTGGACCCTAATTAACCTCGCCATTTTTTGAGCTGTTCCATAACCTTGTTTACTTCCTTTTTTGAATCATTTTAGCATCCTTTTTTGAATGCTTTTTAGTCGTTGGTTGTAGGTTATGGTCGAGTGTCGCCAAGAACTGAGCATGGAAAGCTGTTTACAATCGTGTATTGTGTGATTGGTATGTATAGATTTATTGCTTTTGGCCATTATTGTTAGCGGCAATTGCTACCATGTTATCTAGTGTAATTTCACGTCCACTCGTACGTTCTTGGAATTTCTCTCATATTTCAGGAATTCCCTTGACGCTGGCTCTTCTATCGGCTATTGTAGCTCGTCTCAAAAGGCCATCCCAAATTTTACGAGGATTTCTGAACAAACGGCTAGCTCATATTTTTCATGAAGGCCACATTCAGGTAAGACTTCGTAATTTTGCTGTCTTTAGTGCGCAGTTGTTTTTCACTGTGAGTACTATCTCTTCCCTCCCTTTGATGCACAAGGGAACATTTTTTTATTATAGAAACTGTTAGCAATTTATGTCTCACTAAAACCAGTTTCACTCCGCACAACGTGTGCGTCGAACGGGGCTTCAGTGACAGCGACCTGGACAAAATTCAAATTTTGGATCTGGTCTTCCTTTCCGGATATTCAGTCTGCTCAACTGACCTCATATTCGGCGAGGGGGACCGCAATCGCTTGCAAAGTGCACAAGCGACGGCTGATGGCTCTGCTCGATCGGTGCCGCAGCCGACTGCATCGACTCCATCGCTTGTCCGTCGCGATCCCGACCGCGATCGTCGCCGACTATGACGTCGGTCTGAGCGTTTCTCTTTTTTGGTAGGCCCTACATATTGCGAATCCTGGGTTCAGCCCTGCACACCTCGATGGACGCTCCGCCACCCATTTTGCCTCCTTCTGGTTGGCCCTCTCCACTTTTTTCGCGGTCTATAGGCTGTCTCGATACTGAGATATGGGTCTTGCACCAAGCTCCTACCACCTTGGGTGACCCCACTCACTAATAGCGTTTAACATCCCCTGTCCTGCTAATCTATCCGAATTTCTCGATTTCTAGGTCGCCTATTGTAACGAATTATGGGATTCGCAGAAAATCCGCGTACTTGAGGGAGTATGCATAGTTAGACATTACACTTCACCTTTTTTTCTGCTTTGTAGACTTCCTTATCACCAAGTTTCCAACATTTCAGGAAACATCACTCATTAGACAACGGCCCGCCCGCCGCATTCTTTTCTCCCTAGTTTAAAGCGAGCAAAAATTGGCATAGTTATGCTGGTGCACCAGTAATGGAATGAGAAAAAAAAACTTTAAAATTCTTAGTATCACATGGCGCGTCTATCGTAAGGGGGTTTGGCCTCATCTGTGGAAGTCTAATTAATTGAACTTCCTTTGATATGGTAAAATGCGATCAAATGAGTCGAATAATTGGTGAGATTCCCGTCGGGTTTGTGTGCAAGCCCTGCGACTGGCTCGCAATGTGATTTTAAGGATTTTGGCAAGTTTTTTGCTTCTTTTTATAAATTCACCATTCACTGAAAATATTTTCATTTACGGACACTATAGTACAGACCTAAAGATTGCGATACGTGCCTTCGATCCGACAACGGGCCGGACATCTGTCCGTTTTTCCCGCTCTCTAGGCTGTTTTGGTATCTTATCGGGATTTTTTGCTTTCGGTCCGCCCAATTCGGCATATTCCACAGCGTGGGCGGGGCTCCACTTGGCTGAGGTGTATTTTGTACTTCATGACCCATCCCAAATTTAACCCCTTTATAGTTGTTTGTTCAGATATTACCAAATCTTGTGAGTTACACACACATACATGCAAATACAAGCTCACAATCAGACTCAGCGCTGTATTGTAGATCGCGCAATTCAGGATTATTAAGTCTGGTCGCTGTGATTCGACAGTGTAATGTTATAGCGTTTTGATTGCTAATCTCTATTCCCCCTTACGATCCCATGTTTTAGGTTCGTTTCTCCCATAAATCGATCACTTTACTTTTTAGCTCCATGATGATCTTTTCTAGATGTTCACGAGCTGGCAATCCCCTCCCCCCCCGTTTGCCTGCTTCTTCTCGTATTAGTTTTTGCCAAAAAAAAAAAAAAAAAAAAAAAAAAAAAAAAAAAAAAAAAAAAAAAAAAAAAAAAAAAAAAAAAAAAAAAAAAAAAAAAAAAAAAAAAAAAAAAAAAAAAAAAAAAAAAAAAAAAAAAAAAAAAAAAAAAAAAAAAAAAAAAAAAAAAAAAAAAAAAGGATTTTCACAAATATTGAACCAGATTGGACCTACCTTGACGCGTTCTACTATTGCTTCGTCTCTTTAACGACGATAGGCTTAGGTCGAGTTTTCGTTTATTTTCTAAATCATTTTCGCATTCTTTCGTATTCTGAGGACCTCACTGAACACAACACAGCCATTCATGCTTTCATTTCGTTTTTCAATCTGTTTTCATCTTTGAATACTTGTTTAGGCGATTACGAACCAGGGTGACAGTCCCGATCAAGAGTACAGAGGTGTCTACAAAGTTATTGCGACCGGTTTGTTCATCTCCATTTGATTCTTGTATTGAGAAATGGGAGCTTCCATGTGACAGGATCACAGGCAGTCTCATAGAGAAAATTGAGGAAGTAAAGCAAAAAAAAAAGAGAAAATTGAGGAAGTAAAGCAACTGGAATAAAAATTTCGCGATTTATGGGTTTTTGCTCTTGCCATAATAACTGCTCGATCCGAAATCTTAGTTCTGTGAATGTCTTGGTTCACTATCTTCTTTTTACTAGTTTTCCTACTGAAATTGACAAGAAAGAAGAAAGAGTGAGAAAAAAATTTCATATGCACTTTTCGCTCTTCATTATAATATGGCAGTTGTTTTTTTTTTATCACTTCGCCCTCAGTCATCTTCATAGTTTCCCCCCCCCCAAATAGTTTTTTGATCGGTTGTTTGGTTACAGATATCATCTTTTCTTGTTACAGTGTACTTACTGGTCGGTTTATGCTGCATGATGCTGTTTCTTGCTACGTTATATGAAGTGCCTCAATTTGATTTGACGCGCGCTTTTCTTGAAGACGGAGGAGGAGACAAGGATAGTCGATGAGGTTCGTTCTCAAAAAGTTTCCAACATCAACCCTCACGGTAATTAACTTTTGAGCAGTTTATGCAAATTAATTACTGAGACAAATAATGAAAAGAATCGGGCATAAAAGTGTACCTGAAGTGTCTGAAGTAATGTTTCCATAGAGATTGAACATCCCTTCGTCTCTTTCAAGGGCGAGGTTCGGGCTCAACCTCGTTGAAGTAGCCGTCCCGTGGATCAAGGTTTGTCTGGCACTGCAGAGATCGCACCACCTTTCGCACATCAAAGCACGTCACTAACACCGGAGGTTTTTCGTGGTGTAGAGCGCTCTTTTGAGAAGGGTTTTTTCATGCTATAGGGGCCCTCTCGTTAGTTTCAACATAGGTTCACTCTCGCGGAGCGGGCTCTGAGGCCAAAAAAGGATTGAGAATTCGCTTTGTATGGAGGGTTTTTACCGGACCTCAGTGAAAACCTAACTTCAGGGGTAAGTAGTGTTCCCGCTAATGAATATGATATCCACTGCTAGCGCTGACGCTACTTGAAGCCCATCTGGAAGCTTCAAGCTAAGGTGCAAAAGTTTTGTCATCACAGGGAATTGAACCTCGAATCATTTCCTCATCACCTTTTGGCCTTCATGAGGCCGCTCAGGGAAAATGCACCCTCAGTTTTTAAACCCCCCCCCCCGATCATATAAGTTTCTATATAAGAAGACCGTTTCGAAGAAGCGCTAATCAGCCTTTGTCATCAGCGTCTAGTGCCCTAGAAAAAACCTTTTTGTAGGACGCTATGCGCTAAGGACAAAAAAACATTTTTGTAGGACGCTATGCGCTAAGGACTTGAATAAAATCCCACCAAGTACAATCAGGGCCCGCCGATCGATATCTTATCTGCGTCGCAATGTTGATCTGCTATGCTCTCTCTACTCGGACTTCTCTACCGCTCTCCGCGCTCACATTATCTCTCATCTCCCTGCCTGCCCCTTTTGACTTCTCCGCAGCGTAGAGCAAAAGGCTCGTATTTCCTGTGTTTCAGATTTTCTTTCCTTTTTTCTCCACTGGCGGTCCACCTCCCATCCCTACTTTCACATTTGAGTGGAATTACTGCATCAATTCAATCCTCATTCTTGCATTCAATTATGAAGTTTTTGTTTATTCTAATCTACTGCTCTCAGCGATGATCGGTGAGGCACGTATTTCAGACTGATGTTGGGCCGAAATATAGTCGGTTTCCTGATGATGCCGGTGGGGTGCAGTCGTACGAAAATGGATTCTATCAAGCACAATAACCACTCCGCGATATTCTCACACTTGTTTACTGTACAAGTAGGAGTTCGCTGTTGCCATATTTCTATTATGTTAGCTTCTTCATGTTAAGAAACTGAATCTCATTATCAAAAAAAAACAAAAAGCATTCGTTTTATGTCTTGTAAAAGTTCTCTACGCATGTACTATATCGCCCGTTACCGTTGCTTCCGGTTCACTTTTTCTTTAAATTGTATGGGGTGGATAAATTGATGTGTCTTATAATACTTATGATATCATCATCTTTTATGAACATTGGTTTTCACCTGAAGCCTTTGTGTTGTTTGAGACGATGGGAAAGCCATTTGTAATTTTAATAATTTGTCAGAAATAGTCTGAGATAGATTACTCTTCAATAGATCTCTTTTTACTAGAGGTTCTTCGATTCATTTATTTTTGTTCGCTTGTTCGAATCAGCAATAAATCTCTATCAGTGAAATTGAGCATTGTTTTGCAGAACAAGTCTTCCAGTGCGAATACCTCTTTTTGGGTGATATTGTATTACTTGGAACCGCAAAAAAAAATAGATCGACTCCAATGTGACCCACTTTCGGGCCTTGTATGTTCTGCTAGAAACCACCTTCGGACACGAGTTTGTAGGAGCTGTCTTGCTATCTGTCCAGAAGAAACAACGACAGATGAACAGTAGATAACTCTTCATCGGATATAGACACGCTTCTGCCATCCATCGCAACTCGTTATCTTCCCATCTGTCTACATCTTTCCTCTCTACGGTAGCATAATGAAAGAGAACAAGGGTGTCAGGTTCTAGTGACACGATTCTATAAATTCGCATCACAGGTACCTTGAGAGCGGACCATTCGGTAAAAAAAAAGCTTGATGCCTACTTCTCCTCCACATATATTGAAATGAGCAGTTAATTTTATATGATACTATATGACTTTCAATGACATAAGATCACTAAAGTTGCTCGACTTAAAGCAACAGTCCCAGCAGGGTGGGCGTGGTCGGAAACGGCTGCAATCCCCTCGGCCGATTCCCACTTCGGAGCTGTTCAGCCCCTAGTCAAGAACGTAAGAAGTGTGACTGAACAAAAACTCACCTTGGAAAGCCGCTAGGGAGGGAGCTGAAGTGGGCGTGGTCGGAATCGGCCGAGGGGATTGCAGTCGTTTCCGACCACGCCCACCCTGCTGGGACTGTTGCTTAACCAGGAAGGTCTTTCAGGACATGGAGCCCTTTTTGAAAACGTTTTTTGCATGATAAAGGGGCACATGCATGGAGTACAAAACTAGGCTCCATTTTTTCTGAGCGGCCCTCTGAATGCCAAAAAAGGAGTGAAAAAAATTTCTTCAGAAATCGGAGTTTTCCACCTTTCAACGTGGTTTATATCACTCCTTATGTTAAGTGGACGCACAATAGAAGGTTTTCTTCACCTGAACGTTGAAAACAGCGTGGAATAAAGCCAATACCAAAAATTGTATATAATAAGTGCTCAAAAGCACAAGGAAGTTTCATCAGAGTCGTTGACATTACATCGTACAGCGGTGGTCGGATGGTCGAGTGGATAGCGTTTGATGGACTCTTGACTTGCTTACGGTTTGTTCGAAAGCTTATTGGTTCGGCTGCATTTACATGTGCTTTGCGCGTGAACTTAAGCCTATAGGTGTCATTTCCAAGAACTTTCTCCCACAATTCTGCGATATTTCGTAGTACCATGTTTTTCAGTTGTGCACGAAATTCCGTTTACAAGCACTAAATAACTATATGCAGTTATGGTAAAGCCCAATGAAGCATCTGAATCACAGGCGCAGACCACTACAACTGCATCTAACGAACGCCAGAAAAGTGCAGTTGTCATTTTCTTTACAAGGAACACCTACTCCATTTCCCTTGAAGGCAGATAGCCGGCGGTTGAGGGAATGTCCGAGATTGCTCGTCGACGTATGCCAGTGCCCACCCAGGCATACGCCATGCATCGACGAGATCAAGGGGTGATGCCAGATTGCCCCATGGGCAGGAACTGCGGTGGAAGTGTAACTATCAACCAAACGTGCCGCTTGCTATCATCTCGAAGCTGTCTCCAAGTGGGAAGCGTGCATGCCGTACTGACTATGGGCTAACCCATGGCCCAATTTTTGAATTCGGGCCGAAATCTTGATCTTCTCTAAAACTGCGGCTATAAGGGTAATTATAGGCGCTGATTACGAATCTGACGTCCATTTTTGATGGAGGCGCGATATTGCGCCATTTTAGCCTTCCTCGGGCACCAACTCGGCGCCGCTTTAGCGCCATACAATTTTCGCCCCAATTCTGGGCACAAAGCTAATCAGAAAAGTTGATGATGACCCTGATTGTAAGAACAGTACCTATTTTTATCGGCGGTAACATTTGGAGTTATTTAACATGCGCTAACATGAAATGCAAAATTTTGTCATCAGCCGGGACCGATCCCTCGACCAATTTTTCATACCTTTTTTGGCATTCAGAGGGCCGCTCAGAAAAAATGGAGCCTAGTTTTGTACTCCATGCATGTGCCCCTTTATCATGCAAAAAACCGTTTTCAAAAAGGGCTCCATGTCCTGAAAGACCTTCCTGGTAGGACACGTTGGCCGAAACGGAGGGGTTTCACGTTTTATTGGGCGGGCACTTCAGAAGCACTCCAGGCACGATGTTGGCTTGATTCCCGTACACGAAAATGAAAGCGGAGGTGCAAAGCAGATCGGCAGTGAACTGAACAGGATGAAGAAACAGGAAAGAAATGTCCGCCGAATATAACATTAAAATTAGGGGCCCTTTTTGCAGTGTAACTCGGATTGTGCTATCCATTACAGGAGAAGACACTGTGCGCGAAGGAGAGAGGATAGGGACTGTGCTAACCGTTAGAAGACACTGCGCAAGAAAGAGAGGGCGTAGACGCACTACATGTTTCGAACAAAAAGCAGCCGAAGCGGTCATGACAAGGCACTAACGTCCTTGCTGCGCATTTTCCAGCCACGAGAACAACACATCTGCTAAATTATGGACACCTTTATCCTACCTATCAAAGGTATTGCTTTACCTAAACTTATCATGTACTTTGGAGGCCGACCATTCAACAAACCAGCCGTCTGTTCCTGCAGCTTTGATTAATGTCGCACCATCGTCCTTGCCTTCAAAAACACTCACAGAAGCACCAATTCGGCTTCGTAATTCTTCGCACCAACACGCGTTGACGAATGTGTGATGCATTTCAATCGACTGATGCTTATTGATTTACCATTCAGTTCCTCCTTCAGTTTTTCGGGTTCTACTCTTTGATTTTTGTCATTCGCATCCCCTAAAAATTTCATAGTAATTTCGGTCAATGTTGCTCTCTTGTTTATGAAGAATTGCCGATCTCAAATTCTTCAGATAACTCCAGAGTTGACGATTGTCGTACAAAATGCAATTATTGATTGCTACCCGTTTCAGGCCAGTGTGAACTGAAAAATGGAGTGACTATCGTCCACATATTGTTTTGCTCTTGCTCTCATCTTTCTTGCAAATACAAATCGATCACCGCGTCCTTTCTCCTTTTCTCTTACCAGGAAAGTCGTTAAGGTAGCCATTTCTAAACAGTCTCGTGCGTGCTATGAGGGCACGTCCGTGGAGTACAAAAGTGAGGATAATTTCTTCTGGGCGGCCCTGGGATTGGCAGAAAAATGGCAGAAAGCTTTTCATAGAAAATGAGATTTCTACATACTTTGCTAATATACTCTACAGCATTTAAGGCGTTGGGAA